ACTTCTCAAAGTAAGTTTCTTTGACGGTTAAAGCTCTTTTGCTGTTTCTTCAGGATCAACAACACCATTTCGTTTATTACTTTCACTGGACCACTTTTCTGATTGCAAGATAAAGTAAGGAATGTATAAAGATATAAAAAGCCGTGAAATTTGAATGTCTGTTACCTTTTAATTGTTAAAAAGAGCAAGAGTAACATACAGTCGTTTCGCTTTAGGTATATTTATTTACATCTCTACGATAAGAAGCACTTCAGACGGTGTGTTTTCCTGTCGAGAAAATAGGTCAAGGGATTCGTGCAACCAGTTTTCCCTCGCTTTAGTGCATCGTTTTCATTATGCAGCCATTAATGTTCACTGCAAGCTTTTATGGCTCCCTGTAAATGTTGCATGCGTATTCACGCTCGTAACTTTCCTACGAGGTTCAACTTGCTTTGTGTTTCGTTCAACTTTCTCTCATCAAAGACTTTGCAAAACTAACAACGACGGTCATTTAATTAATTTAAACAAATCATCCAAAGCGTTTAAATAATTTTATATTTTTATTTGTTTTGAATAAAAATTTATTTCGATACAAGAGAAATGAAAGAAAGTGACTTTCGAGGTTCAACGTATAATAATAATGTTGTTTCATTCGTGAAACGTCATTCTTGATTCGATACCTTTATAAACACGCGCTGTTTACCTTCCGCGTATTGTGCAAATCCGAGAAACGTAAATACCAGTGATATTTGGAAAGCTGGATATTTATAGTTCAATAGTTTGCCTAACGTCGCGATATTCCATAGGTGAAAAATCAATCGATCGAGCACAGGGGAATCGAACCTAACCGATCCCCTGGTCCGTATTGTATATTCTTTTCTTTTTAAATTCAAGTTATTAGCGTTCTTTGAACAACGCACGAATACCTACGAGTGAAGGTACTTTTGAATATCTTGGTGGAAATTGTAACTGGCTACGAGCATTGAAATCGATTTTGGCTTCGGGGATTTAATGTGGCAAGGCCAGGCCGCTGTAGGGAACCACTGTCCGTCAGTGATCAGATTTAACGATAATGCCAGATAATTAGATTCCACCTCTAATTCCCATTACCAATCAAGGAATTATCAGCTGCTGGTAATTATTGGCCAAAATTACCTATTCTCTACGAATATCTCCATCTCCGTTTTCCTCTTATCGTGGCAGATTATTCTCACTACGGTGGATCTCCTTCAAAAAATGATCATTGATCCACTCATCTTCGTTCGAAATTTCTCGTAAACCATAAATTGAAATTTTAGTACCTCGCATCGAAACGATCGATTTTCGTAGGGTTGCGTTAAAAATATAAGATTTGGATGGGAATAAAATAAATAAACGTAAAAACCAATAGCGTTTCGAATGCAAAGCGAAACACATCTACAAAGGTGAGCCGGAAATTAGATTCGTCAATGTTGGCAATTTCGTTGCACCGTTCTCTTTGACGTGAGAATTTGTAAACAAACTTCAACGACGAATAAGGTTGCCCGCCGCAAAGAGCGTACAGAGCCGCGACAATTATTTCTCATGCATTATTTATCCTGACCGTGGCGCAGGGTTCGCGAGGATAGAGATACATTTTCAGCATTCTGACATTTTTGTGGGTCGTGGCTTAATGGGACAGAACGCATGAAAAATTTGTACCGCCTTGCATGGGCGACCATGTTTTGCATAGCTTGTAAAGTGCCCGAAAAGCCGGATAATTAAGACCAACGCTACTTGCGAGACTGAAATGTCCCAACAACTTTCGCGACATTTGTTTGCCTTCTCGTTGGAAATCCTCTTCCCTTTAACGCCGGAACGATTAAACTCGTCAGAACGACGAATTTAAGGTTCCATTCTTCACGATTCTGTTCAGTCTTGCGATCTTCACTTTCCACCAACAATTTCTTCGTCGCCTAATCGCAGCAGGGGCGAGGTTCGTATGAATATTAAACGGTTTCTGAATAGTTGCGCAATCGCCACGTCCTCGGTGGCCTGTTAAATATACGCCAGGCCACGAAACCGTGTGTTTGTCTAGTGGAATTAGCGATGCAATTATGCAGGCTGGTCGAGGAGAGACGCTTTCTCAGACACACAGAGAAACCTAGTCTCTCCCAGATGGGACGCGAATGAAATGTAACCGACCAAACAACGTCGGCCAATCGCGAATATATTACGTTGACAGCGGTCGAATATTGTTACCAATTAACCGCTCCCTTGACGATCCGCTCGAACGGTCCATTAAAATGCATCGTCCGGCTCCTGTTAAATTTTTCACTCTGCGATTGCATCGTATGAAACGGGGTTGATGGCTACACGAAATACACGTTTCGTGTACGGTTTCAATTGACGCAACAATTGAGGACAATCTGAACCTTTCGAAAGTTTTATTTACAACCGATGTAAATGTTAAAAAACGAAAGGGAAGCTTAAAACTTGTCCCTTATCTGACTGTTTCTTTAGAATCCTTTTGAAAATAGCATTTCCAGCGACAGTATCATAAATCTAGGACAAATTTCGACTTAACAAACGGGTTAAATTGTCGCATCTCTGGGAAGCTCTCCCTAGAAAATTATTACAACGGCGCCGGGGCTGATTGTACAGAGATCGCGCGTTTCCGTCGCGATCGTCGATGCAATTATGCACAGTAGCAGTCATCGTCGCCGTCGTCGCGACGCTTCGCTTTCTGAGACGCACGGCGTTAAGGTGAAAGGGCGAAACTCCGTTGCCTGCGGGGGATTCGAGGATGCAAGGCGAATGCAATCGTGACGATTTCGCGTTCCAGGCCGACTCGGTTAAGTACACTTTATTAAGCATGCCGTCTGCGCGTTGCCGCATCCACTTGCGTGGTAAATGGAATTACAAACGCATCCAGCCACCGTTCGCGGCTTGCGACTGACATCTTGTACTCGCGCGGCTCACGCGTTGTACACGTTGAATCAACGATCACAGAAGGGTGTGATGTTTGCGCCGATCCTCCATGGGCCAACTGAGCTGAACGTCGAGAACATTTAGAAAATTGTGTCCTGATAATAAATTACGAATAACTCGAGCCTGATACTTAAGGAGTTAGATCGAATTGTCTCGAACCGGACAGAATCGGAAAGATGACGATCCAACGGGGAGAAGAAATTCAGCAGCGAATTCAGCCACGGCCGCGAGACGGTCGTTTATCAAATTCACTCGGTATGCATCGCAGCAAAGACAGCGCCGTTGATTTATTAAATTGCGGCTGGATGAAACCGCGAAAGAGGAATCTATTAACGGCGAGGTGGATTCGACGTCGCGAGACGTCGTCCCTCGTCTCGTCACGGTCGTCGTTGCTCCGGGGCGAAGACGCTCAAAGACAAAATTATTAAAGTTCCTCTCGGTGTATACACATTTATCTTTCGTCGATGTTTGCACCGTTGGGACGAGTATACGGGACTTCCGGTAAATACGGCCCCGTCCGTCGAAGCTGATGAAAAGCGACTTGTTTACCTCGTCGTTGGTGCTCCGTTGACTTCCGGAACGGTAGCAGGATAAAAAAAGTTTCACCAGGGGACAGGAAGGAGAAGAGCCGCGTGTACTTAAGACAGCTTCGACGAAGAATCTTTTATTTCAAGGATGGAAACTTTCCCCGAGGATCTACTTTGCTAACTAAAGAAACGAGCATCCGTCGTGTTAGATTCGACAAATAACGACTTTGTTACTTGTTAAATACACATAAATCTTATTCGCTTATAACAAGTTTTTAGTTGAACAACTCGTAGCTGTTTTCATCAAGAATTTGCGAATTATTAAATAATCATTTCGCGCGTTGCTTAACACGCCGACGGAGATGAAATTATTATATAAATTTTGATGTTACTTCAAACGGAAGAATCGAATGAAAATTTGATCCTCGAGCAACATTCGCGCGAATAACTGAAGATGTATTCGTCTTCTGTACACCGAGTTCCCTGCTAATTAAATCCTATACGAGCCAGTCTCTTCGGCAAGCTGCGCTGCAGTCGAAAATAAAGCAGGACAAGGAGTAGCAACGTTGAAACAATCATTAATTAGATACGCCATGAAACAAGGACGAAACAGGATGCTGGCCAGATGCAGAGAAGGATGGTCGCAGGTGTTGTTGGCTCGGTAACAACGGTTCGACAGCAGCCAGAGAGAAAGAGGTAAAGATGGATCGAGAGACGAGAGAAGACGTATCTTCTTGAATGTTGAAAGTAAATCAGAGAAGCAGCAAGCTGCTTCTCGGCCGGAAATGAGCCTTGCCGAGCACAATCTCCGGTCAGAGAGGGCTTGTGCATTTTCTTCTTTGTAAAACGTTCCGCCATAATTGAAAATGTCCGCGTTGTGCTTCGTTTTCTTCCTCCAAATGCTATCGTGTTAAGCCAGATCGCGGTTGTTATAGTTAAAGGGTTCTGTAAATTTTTCATTTTTTTTTTTTTCTTCTTCTTTTTAATAAAATATCAGCCGGTTTGAAATTGTAATTATTAACACTGAAGGTAGCTCAAGTGACTCGCGAGAAAAAGTCACTCGTCTCTATCAAGCTAAAACAGTGCAGACATTTTTTATCGGTAAGTGACGGTAGCAAGGATGCTCGAGACTGTACCGAGTGACGAGCGGTGTAGATCGTTTCCCGAGGTCTCGATCGATGTTGACGACCATCCAATCGACCATTAACTATATCCTGGGTGGCTCGCAAGAAAGGGCAATCAATCTTCCATAAGTCGAGGCCTCGAAGAAGCTCGCTTCCTTCCTTCGAACGGCCCATCGCGTCGCGCGAAGAAATCGAGCCTTGTTCGAGCTTTCTCGCGCGGTTTCGCAAGAAATCGTCGATCTAGAATCTCGAAACATCGGAGTCCTGTTCGAAGAAAGAGGGGTACGTGTTTCTTGCTCGATCCGCGGTTAGAGCTTGTCTCGATTTATCAGGAAGTTGAATACGTTCGATGGGGTTAGCTGCGATACGTGACGAAAACTTTGGACAGCTCATTGATCTGTGTTGTTCTTTTACTTTTCAGGTAGCAGTGAAGAATCGAGACCCGGTGGCGGGGATCCTGGAAAGTTGGGGGTGAGGAAACCAAGACCGAAGGCTTCGTCGCCCAACCGACAGGGACCACAGCAATGCCAGGTATGAAAATTATGTATCTGCTTTTTATTTTTAACAGTTCATCCAATTTCGTGACTGGAAACGGCGAGCACCGGGTGTAAAGATCCTTTTGTTAAAATTACCATATTTCTTTTCTATCGTATTTTTGGGGGGTGAACGCTTAAGGGCATTAGAAATATAATTTTTAAAAAGGCGTGATAGGTTGAAAAATTATTGAGCAATGGAGGGATCTCGCTCAAGGTGACAGACACGCTAAAGCCGACCCTGTTTTGCATCATATAGTATTTCCATACTTCGCCTATCATATTAGCGAATTTTCTCAATTTTGACATCATTGAAAATTTATTCCATAGAAAGAGAGAAAGAGATAGAACGTTATATAAAATTTGGCTATAAACGTCTTGCTACAGGGTTATAAGTGAATTCATTAGATTTTTTTATGTATGAAAAATGGTAAAATAAAGGGTTTATGGTAGAAAAGTAACTTCACATAAAAAATTGATCCAATGAATTATTATTAAAACAGTAAAATTTTCAGGACATTCATAATGTATTAATTTTAAACAAATGCAAGCTTATGAATTTATGAAATCATAAATGAAACTAAAATTTTAAAAGTTGTTGATTAAAAACGATGAAATAAAATTCGCGATTGTTTCCTTGGCCTTGTTGAATTGTTCATAAATCGTGAGTACGATCTCGGTGACTGGAGATTTATACACGTGAGCGTGGGGCAATTAGGTCAAACGTTCAAGGCCGCTTTAATGCTACAGTCCATTTTGTTAACTGCATTCGATACGATTGATGTAGTCAATTTGCGAACAATATCGAGAGAAATACACGAACGAGATCTTTAACCAATTGAATTCTGTCTATTGCCGTAAAATTCGATCAATTCTCGTAACAAAAGCTATTCTTCTGGAACCATTAATTAATACACAATAATATTTCATGGTGTAAATGTGTAGAAGATCATACGTACATTATCAATCATCATTATTTGTTAAATGTTAAGCATGTTCGATATTATTTAAAGATCAATCAGGCAGTAGTTATTGGTATATCGTAATAATGCAAAATTTAAACCGTTCACTTGACTTAGAAAAAGAATGAAAAATTCTAAATTGGCAAATACTTCAGGAAGCATAGTCTGTGCTTTTATCAAGATAGGAGGAGAGGATACGTGGCACGCGTGACCCATATCGGTCTAAAACGTTGGCGTGTGTCGACGCGAAAGCTCCTCTATCGACACAGTGGGCTGTTTATGCAGCCGAGCTTGCAGCGACCAAAGCTGGTCGCGCGTCCTGCACACGTGTACACACATACGGCCATTGCACCAACACCGGAGACAGTGTGTAACGTGAAAAGCTGTTGAATATTCAGATTGCACGATCCTCGAGCGGCCACGAGGAACACGCCGCCTCGTTGAGTAACACACGAACGCAATATCTCTTGGTTCGCGTATGCAAGCAGAGTGATTGCGTTCAAGACCACTTAAAGGGGCTGGCTTTTTCGTTGAAAATGTTTAATCCTTTCACTGCGGCATGTGTTATGCAATAGGTTTATATTAATCCAGATTTAGGAATCGAGATCGTGGGTACTTGAATAAGGCTATAATAATTTAAAAAAAAAAAAAAACTGCATAATTCATTTATTAAATTCTTTTCACACGTTACACTATTTGAATATTGTAAATATTTCTAGATTATTTCTAAACAATTTTCCCTGATAGATTTTCATTTTATCTTTTTCTATCTCTCTCTCTCTCGTTGGTTGTCTTTGTCTTATCCTTGTAGCAAGATAGTCGGGAAACGAAGAGCCGCGAATTACGGTCCGCCTTGTTACGTAATTAAATGATGGCCTGGCCGACTTGTTGACAAGCCCCGTCGATGTATCGAGTTAGCAACGAATTAAGCTCATCCTCCACGGTTCGATTATAGCTCGGATATCGGCAGGATCCATGAAGGAGAAGCAACCTCGAGAAGTGGCCGTGCCCTCGTCGAGACGTCGACCGTCCGTAATTTTACGGGAAATTAATAGTTACTCGTTACACAGGGATCCTGAAAACTGACAAGTTGATCACGACCCTTTACTTATCCGTAAATTATCGCTACCTCTCGGTACGTCGTTCGATACTTTTAATTGACAAGCACGCTTTGAAGTATTTTCAAATATTTCGCCATGCTTCTGTCGTTAACTACTTTGAAATCTTTTTTTCTTTTTTTTTTTTTTTTAATTATTAGTTTACGAGTTTTAAAAACCTCGTTTTAAAAAACTACTTGAGTATCGAATTTTTCAGTAGTTTAATTTAGGTTCTACAGTAATTAAAGTGTGTTTTGAGTTATTTTTATATGATTTTTATTTATTTATTTATTCAAGAAATTTTGGAAATATGTTGGATTTGATGGCAACAGATTCTATCAAATACAAGGGAAATCATTTATCTTTCATATTACACTTGATTTGCCCAAAACCTTGATCCCATCGAGTATCATGGTGTTCACCCTCACATTTCATGTCACAGCGTGTCGCACAATTACCGTTCTCTTTCCACCGGAAACCATATAAATTCTCGGTGTACGATACTGTCGTAACCTCGCGTCCATTGTCAAGGGACAATGTGGTAACGGATCCTCGGAACGTGGTGCACAAAGATCACAAGGAACGTTCAAGATAATTCGAGCGATTGCATCGATCCCTTTCAAGGGTGCGAGATGTAACGGGTGTCGGTGGTCGATTCTCGGTAATCTGAAAGCGCGGAACACGAAGCACAATGGAGGTAAACTGATTGAACGAGGTGAAATCTGATGGCATTCCTTCTCTGGCTTCTCTCAGTTTCCGGATTTCCGCTCTGTTTTCGCTTGCAGTCTGCACACCTATGCAGACAAAACGACCGCCCACCGAATCCGATAACATCGTAAAGAGGTTCCAGGAGTCGTTGACCCGGCTCTTACGATTATTCCCCCGCGATTCGAGGATGCGAAATCGAAGCTCTTCCGATAACCGTGCAGTAGCTTGCTCTTTTAGCGACCATGCTCGATCCATTTCGAGTTATGGCCGCGTTAAACTACGCCACTAGGATCGTACAGGTCGTTAAGTTAATTAATTGCTCGACAGGTTGCCACCTGTCTACCTTGCTCGACGTTAAGATTCTTCTCAGAAAGTGGGATAGAACGTTAGTTCAGAAGATGTTCGTCGAGAAAACGAGAGATAGGGAACGTTTGCCTGATCGATGAAACGGTTGATTGGAATTTATCGAGATGGTATCGTGTATACTGCACTTCTGCGGATGGTACGACTGTGTTCTATGGTTATTGGTGGAATTTGTAGATGCGTTTGAAGTTTTTATGCTATACGCTTGGTTCCAGGTGGGGGATGTAAATACTTGAAATAAGTAGTGTACTTTGATATATTTTGTTCAAATTTCAACTTTGGGTTTAAAATAAAACTCCCATGATAGTCATCAATTTTTTTCTCTGAGATTCATTACTTATACTTCAATTTATACAGTGAAGTTTTGTATCAAAATATTTCTCTGTAAATATTTTAATATTTTCCAATACCAGTTATACAAATTTCTGTATTTTAAGTTTTATCTTCAAGTACAAAGTAAAATTAGAAGCAATTAAAATTTGCCAGGTTAAATACCCTGTGAATAGAGAGGATAGCATTCCCTGTAAAACACAATTAATTGCAAGTTGATATCCCAATTAGTTCCCGAGATACAAGACACCAAAGTACAGCGTTCAAAACGCGCGGGATTTATGAATGGCGGAGGCAACTCAAAGCGGCGTGACCTACTTTTTTTTCTTGGAACTACGCACGTGGCAGGTGGTAGTAGTAATCGTAGTAAAAAAAAAAACGCTGACTCAGCTGCTGTCATTGACCAGCGCAGTGACGTCACGCTTGGGATAGATCAGTGCGGTAGTGCGAGTGAAAGGTTTGATCGTACGATCGAGATAGTGATAGAATCGTGTTCAAAATTATGCTTCGCTTCCAACGATGATATCTAGAGAACCGAAAGTGTTACCTAGATAAAAAGAACATCATTTTAAAAGACGATGTCCATGATATTACATCGTAACAATAGTTTTGTTATGTTATTTAATAATTAAAGATTCTTCTGTTTTAGTATCGAATTAGTGTCACTTTCAACTCATTTCAAAATTTTATAATATCATAATTTAGGGTTCTCTCGAAATTCTATTAGTGGAAAACAAACTGGAGGAGCGTTCGTCGTCGAGTAGAGAAGAATGACTTTACACGATTCTCGCGTTCGTTCACAATGAAAGAGGTTCAAGTAGCGTCGCGACGTCCGTTTTCCTTCTCCCTGACTCGATGGTACATATCTCGTCATCTGCAGCATCGCGAATAATATTGCAGCAACGACGTGACGACGGTGGCTCACTTTTATGTCCCTGGCACAGTCACGAAAGGCGTGTTTGGTTCGTCGGTTCGCTTCGTCGAGGCTGGTTTTCCCTCATTATTTACGGGGGCGCGAGTTTCTCGTCTGCCTGCTGGCTGCTGGTAATAAGATGCACTTCTTTAAAGAACTTCGCCTGGCCGGAAGCAACAAATTGCATTCCCTACCAGCCGTTTTCAACGGCCGTCTGAGCCCCTTGGAGGGAAAGCTCTCTCTCTCTCTCTCGTCGAGACGAACGTGGTTAGCCGGAACAAACGTTAACCGGATAGAGAGCGGACGCGTTTTAAACATGAATCAACCGGCTGCTTTTCCCTCTGGGGGTGGGATTAACGAGGTAAACTCCCGTGAGGGAACCGAGGGATGCATCGATGTTTGGGGGTGAATTGATTTTCTCGTTTTTGTTTGCTTTTTGTTTCGGCAATGCTCCCTTTGGGCTTGCCACGCGAACGTAGCTGTTTCGAAACCTAGGGTGGTGATGTTTTAGGGATCTATAGGGTGGCTGCGATTTTTTTTCATTTTGATTTTAAAACGTTTGCATTAATGAATGAAATTGATTTTATCGTGTTCACGATAATCTTTCAAATTTTCCATGACCTAGGTACTCTAAATATTTTCTATACGCTATAAAATATATAAACATCAAACAGGGAGGCAAGGTTGTTCAGGAAATCGTACTTCCGGCGTCTAAGCAGAAAATCTAATTTGCCCAGCTTAACTGGTAAGAAGCAGCAGATACAGAAGCTGGAAACGCAAGGGAGTTTCAATTTACCTAGCAAGGTCCAAGCTGGAGGAGCAGAAGAGCAAGGAAGAGCGGAGACGGTGTTTGGTCCTTTGGCCATCATCTTCGTGCCAAAACCCGTATCTCTTCCAGCCTCGCTAACGGTTCTTCCTCGAGAGCTAAACAAACATCATTACTCGTGGCCTTTCTCGATCCCAATGCCACCACCAGAAACCGCCAGCCATCTTTCTCTATCCTCTCTTCCAACCGCCATTCACCCTACAGAACAGCCGTCCTCCTGCACACGTCCGTTACAGCCTTCCTCTCGTGTCCGTGCTACCAAACCCACCAATGTACACCGAGCAATGCCGCTGGTGAATACGTAATCCGTCGGTGGTAACATTGATACTTCGTTAAGGGCGAAGGGGAGACGAGGAGAGATAGCCGATGGATGAAGTTAGACGATGGTACGAGAGGAACCGACGCGTCGGTTCATCGTAACCTGAGACCCACCACTGTCTGTTGGTCGATTCGGTTAACGTTTGTTCTCGCCATCCATCCGCTCCATTCCGCTCAGGGAAATGAGGAAATGCCAGCCTCTCGGACCCCCCTGGGAGACGCGAGGGTGTCGAGTACGTACGCTTCAGGAGAAATTTGTTGGTTCTTTTTTTTCAAAGAGGATGTAGAATGGTGTTGATTTTGCCTGTCGGCGATGACTGTTGGCGAATGGGTCAAGTAGAATGGGGCGTATCGAATTGCTAGTCGTTGGAATTTTTCAATTGATTTAGTATAAAAGCACAAAAGTTTTAAACGGAACATTTTTTAAATTACAAATGATTCTTGTTTGATTTGGTTATGTAAAAGTATGTAAAAGACTTTGATAGTATTAACATTACGGGTCGTGTGTACATTTTAAATGAAAAGTGTTTCGTTGAGAAAAAAAGGAAGGAAGAGTATCCGTCAGAAGTTAGTTTTTTAATTACGATACAAAAGATCTGACAAGCGGTACTTTAATTAAGATTAAAAAGTAGGATAACACGGATTGCGGTTAACTTTTCTTTCGATTAACCTAGATTTCAGTGGTGCGAGAGGAGAAGAGGGGAAACGAGAGATACACATTTTTCGTAAAGTGACATAGTTTTGTTTTATCTCGAATAATAAACTTTTGCTTTTTGATAAGAGACTGCGTTTTGTGTTCGCGACGGTGGTTTATTTAAATTAGAAGTGACCTTAATAGCCAACCTGAAATTACGATTCCGCATAAAATAGCATCACATTATAATGTTTACCGTTTCGTTTATTAATTTTCATGGAATCGTAAATACAATGATAATCGTGGATGTAATAAATTAGATAATAGAATACTAACTTACGTAAAAATCGTCCGTTTAGAGGAAATTTAATCTGTTCTTCCTGGATGATTTTAATTAAATTACAATAGATAAATGTAATGTATTACAAAAATAAAATGCAATTGAGTTGACCGCGAAAAATGTATCATACGTGAAAGTAATAAATGATAGTAAGGGAAAAAAGGAAAGAAAGATTCATAAGCCAGGGAAATCCGTATTTCTCGGGGGTATCGAAATTCTAGAAGGGCCTCGTTCGCCAGAAAATCGGTAAATTTCACGGTTGAAGTATCAGCGATCGCTGAGTCGACAGTTTATCCTTTCTTCTTGTTCCATTAGGAAAACGGAAGTTTCCGGGAGGTCGAAGAAAGTTCCTTTACGGTTTTCCCGTTTGAAGCCGAGGGAAATTTCTGTGGACGAGAGTCGATCGCGACTTATTCGCGTCGTCGTTTCGAAGCTGGCTCGAGCGCGAGTCTTGTACCGAGCTGGATGAAAGTAACGGCGAAACGAAAAGTGGAAAAAGAACTTTTCCGATAATGGAGCCGAGAATCGCGCCGCGTGTTCGCCGCAGCTGCATTGGAAATTAATTTCGACTTAACGACGCGTTCACCCCGGTTCGAATACGATTCTTTCGACGGGTTCACTCTGTGTTATGACTTTCTGATGCGTCCACGTGCTTCGACGAACGTGCACGAGCTTATTTCCACGAATTTCCGGCAGTTTTTCAGTAAATTCTAGGTTAATTTATTCTGCAACAGAAGTTCCATGTTCTTGGTATTGCACCGTGCCACAAATTTAACTTTTAAGAAAGGAAGTATCGAATTTAATATAACATAAGGGAAGAAAGAAAAAGGTTGTCGAAGGTGTACGAAGGGATGGGGTTAATTTTATCAGGAACGTCGATCGTTCCTCCCCAAATTTGAGCTCTGGAATTTCACACGATATTCGGCGACGGCAAATTCGTCGTTAATTCCGGCTATTCTTGCACGGTCGTGGGACTTTCAAATGGAACAGGGTCCATACACGCGCGGGGACCCTCGGCCTTTGGCTTCCTGAAATAGTTCCCGAAATAGTATACGCCCCTCTGCGAGTAATAAACCCAATTCCACATACTTAACAGGCATACCATCCTACGACACCCTCGACCGTCTTCGACGTAGCTGTGTTGTTAACACGTGAAATGCCATAGCAATGTCTCGCGTTAATTAAGAATTTTCCACCGACAGTTGAAACTTGTTTACGAAGATAAAGTCTAGTATCCTTTAGGACATCCAACTATCTCTTATATCTCTTTTATATTTCTCATTCAGATCCATGCATCTAAAAATAAAATGACCAATCTGATCGTCGGTTGTATCCACATCCCAACGTTCCAATAACAGGAGACAGTAGACCACCCTGATCGACGGTAACGCGAACACGGAAGCTCACCGCCGTTCGCCATGGAGTAATGGTATCTTTATCGACGTTCTAATGTCCGTCGTAAAACAGCGTCCGGCTGGCTTTACGACGGTTACGCGTGGTAATTGAAAACCGTGTCCAGCCTCGTTCCGTTTCGACTACTCGTAATGAACCGTTTGGAATTCGCCACGAGCCGCATAGAATTGCGAACATTTGCGCGAAACGCGTGCTACGATTGCCATCGTGTATTAAAATCATACCGCTCGATTGGAAGTTGCCAATCGCAATTTTCCTCTGTCTCGATGAAAACGCCTTTGCACTTCCCTTCATTAATTGGGAGAGGCTACTGATCAAATGATATTTGAAATTATTAGGTCGCCGGAGAAATTATTATATTCATGACATTTATTTCTAAATTAATTTAGATTTATGACATCAATTTTTTATTTACGACACTTGCATCAATTTCAACTGTTCAAATTAGAATGATGAGATTGATCGGTACTAACGTTGACAAATTGAATTTCTGTTTGCAGGTCTGCGGAAAGGTATTCAACAACGCATCGGCGCTCACGAAGCACAAGCTGACGCACAGCGACGAGAGGAAATACGTGTGCACGATGTGCGGCAAGGCGTTCAAGCGGCAGGACCACTTGTGAGTACAGATACACCCCTTTTACGCGTCGATTCCTCGAAAACAGCCTCGGCACGTTTCAAATTTCATCTCTTCACCCTGGCAATTACCGAAAAACCCCCGTTTTTATACTTCTTATCCCTTTTTCGTTAATCGCGAATCCATCTGGAGTAGAACACTTGCCGTTGCAAGTGGCAGGCTTTTTCCGTTCGCGTTCATCAAAACCTCTCAAAACGTTTACCACGAGCTCGAGCCTTCTCAAGGCTCGTGTATTGCATAATATTATGCAACAGTTATTTCGCTACTTTCTACAACGAGAGGATTGTTTCTTCCGTGGGATTCACGTGGGATGAGTTGAGAAGTCGGGAGTATTTTTGTCGAGGGTGAATTTCCAAGAGGAATGCTCGGCTTTTGTTGCGAATCTTCTGCTTTCTGTTTGTTGAGTCGACGTTAATCCGGGGTAGAAATATCTTCCGTGTCTTTGGGTATATTCTAGTTTTGATTTTAGTTGGTAGAACGATTTTTGAAATGATATCTTGCAGAGGAAATGATGTAGAATTTAAGTATTAAAATAAGATAAAGAAGAAGAAAATTCAACTACCAAGGTGAGAATCGAAGATTCAATTTCTCTCAATTCTCTTGAAGAAACGAGAAGAGTGAATCAATAGTGGCAGCGATAGGTAGCCTTGGTCAGACTCGCTGGCCGGTCAAGAAGAAGTTCGGCTTGTATTTCCTTTTCGAAGAAGAATCTACAAATCCTCTCTCCGCTTTTTCTTCTTCTTCGACGTATCCTCTTTTTATTCTTGATTCACCGCGCAACTCGGCTACATTTCGAAGAGACAGCAGTTTTCCTGCCTTTCTTGTCACGTTCAATTCTACTTCGTGGTATCACCCGCGACTCGTTGAATGCTTTGCTAAAAATTTATCAAAATCGCGTGAAATAACTATTTTTCGTTTATGAGATACTTGTTGACACGCGGGACGTCACGAATGATGTTGATGACCGATGTTTCAAATTTCAAATAATAAAATAATTAATAATCTAACGTAGTATATTGAAGGCTTAAATTAAAGAATGAAATTATTATTAAAATTTATCCGTTTAGTTATTGATTTTTCGTTTTCAAATATATGTTATAAATAAAAGAGAATAAAGTTCTAATACACGTCTAGCTTTCATGATAATTTTGAAACTATTTCTTAGTGGCACGTTCGATCAGCCTTTAGAAAGCTTCCTACGCTCTTTCGAACGACAAGCTCGAAAATTCGTCTTTGTACTCGTATCGAAATCGCCGCAATCCTCTTTTGTGTCTCGTTCCCTCTGCTACGTGCAGTGGATTCGCATCGAGCGGACAGTATTTTTCTTTTCCTCGACCTTTCCTCTGCGTCGCCTTCGTTTTATGTACGTATTTCATTCGATAGGGTCGCTCGACACCACGCTCAATGCGAGCTGACGAACAGCCCGAAGAATTACTTTCGTTTCATCTCTGGTCTCGAGCCTTTCCTTTCTTTCTTCTCTTACAAATTCATTCTCACCGATTGTATTTTTTTTTTTCCTCTTTGTTTCTTTTCAAGGTTTGTTTCTCGTAAGACTTTTTAAATCTACTTAAATGAACTTCTTTTTTCTTTCCTTTAAATTCCCTTTAAGGATGAAAGCTCTATCGATCGCTTTCTAATAGTTTTATGATGTTTGCAGAGTGTACAGAAGCTTGCAATGCTAGAGAAACTTTTTGATCAACTTGTTCAATCTTGACTGTCTTGTTATAACTTCTGTTAGAGATACTGTTGTATTTTCTCATGGAAGAATTTGTTATAGAGATTAGCTTTAATTGAATTTGTTGCTTTTTATAAATTTTCAAGTTTCACAAAATTGAAAAATTCAGTTCATTTTTATTATTTCTATACTACCTCAGGTGACGCCTGAAGTATTTACTTTAAAAGAGTTCTAAATCAAAATATAGTATCCCACATAAGTCCGTCAACTGTTTTCAAAGAGGAATATAAAAAAATAGAGGAAATTCGCATGATTTCTGCGTGTTACGGTCCACAAACATTGTAGAACATTGTTCCACAACCGATGCGGTCATTCCATTTGGCTTGGATCCATAAAATTTCTCGGTCGCTTACTTGGAAACTCGTTTTCAAGAAAGCATATGCCGGGATTCGAGTAAACGATGTGGACGACTTTATTCGATCAGCGAAAAAGTCCTTGGCCTGTTTTCTGTTTTTATTGAAATCCTTTTAACCTCGGATACCTCGATGGGAGATGGGACTTAAGTACCTAACTCTGTACGTACCGTGGATCGGACTCGTAAAGAATTGTGTTTTCTCTACCCCGAATCCTTTTAAACTTCGCCACGGTATTGCGACCTCGCAATTTCAACTTAAGAAAAGCGAGAACCGAACTCTACAATAACCTTACCGAACCGCCTTCTCTTCTGATACAGTTACCATTAAAGCTATCGATTAACTTGCCAGCAAAAGGAACATCTTATTTTATGTTTTATTCAGTTCCTGGCATCGTGTGACCATTCATTATTCAAGAATTCTTTCCTTTGTTTCCTTCAATTTCTTTTTCAAGGTCTGTTGCTCATTGATTTAAAGTTTCTTAATACCCTTTTGTTACTAATGATCACCGAGCAACTGTACTGCTCTACTTTTTACACCATCATTCGTTTAAAAGTAACAAATATGCAATACAAATTTTCGTATGACAATGAGGAAAAAAAAAGTATGTACCTACGTTGAAATATTTCTCATTGCAAATAAGATGGTAATGAGAAGAAAATTGTAATTGTATAAATGAATATTATTTTATAATTAATCAAATTAGTACCTGCAGTATTTCAAATTCACGGCATTACAAAAGCTACATTATTCCTTTTCATAATTATAATACAATGGCATCAAACGAGTATTTCAAATAATTAATATCAGCAGAGTTATTATTAGAATTAAATTACATATTCAGTTAAAAGTATTCGTTTGTTCCATTTTATATTAATTAAAATTAAAATTATTTTTCTTCTTCCATGTCGATGCATTGATTCTTAATAAAAGGGAAAAGTTTATGAAAAAATTTCCTCGATGATTCGACGAACCAACAATCGTTATTAAATTATTTATACTTCTCGTTTTTCGTCTGAATTCCTCGCGACGTCTTGCGGAATTTTTCGAGAATAAAGGAAACGTGGTATCTTTGGACAAATGTGATTAAGACCTTCCCATCGTTCGGGGGAAGTTTGACGGGTGTAAAAAGAAATAAAAGCAACGAAGCCCTCCATGATCGAACGTAATTTAATTCTGTTTGCGCGAAGTAATAAGCGTCGTATTACACCTTTCATCGTTGCCTTCTGATATCGAACTGGCCGTTCGATTTTATTTCACCATTACATAATGACCGGGGATGGAGAAGATCTCGTAACATGTTTGCCCAGCTGTCGGAAATTTATCATGAGAACAGATGGATACGCTTTTCTTTTTCTTTTTTACTTCACGTTTGCGATAAAGATTTCTAGAATTCTTACCGAAGATCATAATAGATACATTACATAAGAAATATACAAAAATAAACGTCTTTTCGTTCATAATTCTTATTGCATCGATTTAAACTAGTATCAGAATTCGTGTTTTTAAAGTGACTAAGGAAGTTTATTACAATAAATAAACTTAAATGTTAAAAATAAAAAATGACCCAGTTTTAAACGAGAGAACGAAGTATCCAGATACAAATCATGTTCTGTTGATGTTCCATTCTTAACACTTCCAACTCTTTTTTTACAAACTAAAGAAAAATATTATCGCAAGCCTGTTAGTGAAGATGTTTATTGAAATTTAAAGAAGACCCTCGACTACGCAACTCTCTATTGTCATTCTTCAAGAAAACTTCCGGTTCACCAAATGCAACCCGTTTGCCCGTCCATTTCTTGCGTGTTCACCCCTTTCTTGTCGAGCAGGGGAACAGGCAGCCATTGTGAGCTCCTCGGCGTATCTCTGTTATCGAAGTAAATCCACGATAGTCCTTTTTTTTTTCCTGCCGAGTTCGAACGGCGACGCTTGAAATAAGGAAGGACGAAAGGAAGCGCTTATATCTCGAGAGGTATTCTCTTGGAGAGCTTCTCCTCGACTAGGCTAAATCCACAGAGAAAGAGAAACAGAGGAAGAAAGAGGGAGAGTAGGTGTGCTGAGGGCAGTCTCGTCTCTTGGTCCAAAAGGGATTTGCGACAAGTTCAGAGAAGGGTGTGGGTGGAGAAACGGGCTTCAGAAAAGAGTCGTTGGCGATGCAGCGAGCGTGAGAGAGCTTCGTCGTTTCTTCGGTCTTCCGCTTGTAAAGAGGGCTTGCTTTCCCGCCTCGATATCGCCGATACCCTCTTTGTTCATGGCCTTCCTTTCCCGTCCGACTCGCATTAAGGATGCTCTGACCCCGTGAAATGAAAGAAAATAGATCGGAGCCAAACGGGACCTTCCACGTTTACGTGATAGTCTTCTTCCCTCTTTCGCAACGACCACCCTCTTGCGAAACGGGAATTAATGAGCAGTTGATAATTGCCGTGAATTTAATCTTCGCCTCTGATGCTTATAGAAGAAGGGTCACATGGAAAGGAAGGGAAAATTTCTTTGTTAAAAGGTGTAGGCTTTTTTCTTAGGAAGGGTTGTTTTCAATTGCAATGGAATATGTTTGGTGTAATGATTCAATGCTTCTGTATTTTATTTGCTCTCAATACTTCGATAATAACGACTAATTTTTTTAGTCAAATAATATAAATATTTCATTTATAGTATAAAAAGTGATTTGTCCATAACGGTAGATTTTTACTTTTTTATGCAACTTCATTTTAATCTCATACGTTATATACCGTAAAAATAAGCTTCGCCGAATGTTTTCACTGGCAAGTTGTTTCTCATGTTTTCATGGGATTCCTGGTTCGAGAGAAATTTTTTTAAACGCGAGCCTCGGCTTGTTTTCAAAGGAGAGCTTTGCTCTTCGTTCGTTTCTCCGCAATTTGTATGCAAAATACATTTTTCATATAGAAACGTCGAAGGAACATTGTTTTCACTTCAAGATCCTTTATGACGATGCGTCCTTATTATCAGTTCAAATTAAATAGTAGAAATAGAAGACCATCGATTGATTCAGAAACGATGTCATCGTCCTCCCATAGGAAAAGGTTAGAAGTTAAAAGAGTTGAACAAATTAGCTTTTACAAATTAAACCGTGACTCGGTTTCGTTCGTCTGACGATAGAATTGAAGGCAATTCGTTCGTATATCGATGGACTATAAAAGTTGGACCATCGTAGAAGCTCTGGGACTGTTGGAAAATTTACTGGAAACGACGTCCTTGGAGCTGCACTCTGGCCACTTCTTAGTACGATCCAGAGGTAAATCCTCTCTTCTAAAGGAGAGCTACGGGACGTGGACACTGTTCGAGAGCTCGTTAAAGTTTCAGAATTGAGAGAGAGAATTTGTGGTGAACAGTTTGGAATACGTTATAGGTGTAGGCTTCCTTTATGGACAAACGGATATTCTTTTCGTTTGTTTCTTCTGTTTGGTCAGCTATCATTTTGTATTTCTTTTTAGGTAAATTCGTTAGCAATTACGACACGAATTAATCGAACGATCGGAAAAATTCCCGCTTACTTCCTGACTAGATCGTGATATTCTCAGCAAATGTTTGCCCAGAGAAATCCGATCTGTCAGTCGAGACTGGTATCGATGTCGGGAACGAGTGGAAGTGACGTCGGCCGTGATACGGACCGGCAATTTGCCACGTAGCATTTACCGGCTGTTTTATCCCTGTTAAATCTCGGATCTCGATTATAGTTACGAGTAGATACATCGGTGTTCGGAGTTAACGATGTCGTTTCCAGCGTGTTACTCATTGCCGGATTAATACAATTATGGGGTCAGAGTGTCGTGGGAGATGAACGTATCGGAGAGGATTCTTAAAGGCAATAAACGGACCCTTCCTATTTCTTGGTCAAACATCGCCAACTTGTTGCATTTTCGGCTCGTCCGTGCTTTCTTCTCATTTTCTTCTTTACGCGAATCTGGACGTTCAATAAATTATGCAAGAAATATAAATTAACTTAAAAATCATCCAGAATTTAACACAGAAAAAAATTGCTTCAATGAATGATGTAGAAATTTCTGTGTTTCTAAATAAATTTTCTCTTGTTTGTTTTCAGGAATGGCCACATGTTGACGCATCGAAATAAAAAGCCGTACGAATGTAAAGCAGAAGGATGTGGTAAATCCTACTGTGACGCGAGAAGTTTGAGAAGGCATACGGAGAATCATCACGCAGGTAGCAAAGTAAATGAAAGTGTTAGTCCTAGCAGTCCTACGACCGGTCCTCACACTCCTAACACACCAGGAAGTAATCCTAGCACACCCAGTACACCAGGTGCAACATCGACGCCGAATGGCCATGGACATCCGGCTTTGAAACAATTGCTTGCCACAGAACCTACACAAGCACAACAGCAAAAGGTAAGATTAATTGCATACTATGCTCACGATAGCTCAATTAAACCGAAATTGCAATTATCTTTTTATTTACTACTGAAGAATTTATAACGTCAGTTGTTGCTCCGTTTCAAAAGTGATTTTCGTCAGCACAAACACTGATACTACGGTAATTTAATCGAAAAGCTTCGCCGCGTGTCAGTCGATATATCGTGACACCGTTTTCTCGAAATTGGTTCGATATTGGTTCGCCTGAGATAGGTTTAAAGGCTTAGTGTAGTAGCCTTCGAATGAGTCGGTCAACGCGGTACCGAAGATCCAGGGACGTAAGAGGATTACGTTGATCTTCTTGATCGTCAGGCATGTTAGGTGACCTCTAACTACACTCTTATTAATTTTTATACGTCATTCGAGGCCTTCTATTTGTCCTCTTACCAATCTCTCTTGTTAGATAACTGGATTTATACTTGTTTCCACAGTCGAGACATTCTGGATTTCAATTACTGAAAATAATTTTTCAGTAATGTGCTTCAGGATGTTTCTACTTTAATCAACTTAGGATAGTAAATAACCAATGACATTACAAAATATTTAAGGTTCATTTGAAAAATTGATGATAGAAATGAGACTCATGAATTTTTATTTTTTATAATTTCATAATAATTTATTTGCATTTCAATTTCTTTATACCAAAAAGAAAAACTAAGTTATAGTATAATTCTATTTTTTAAAGATCAATATTTTATTAATCATTACATATAAAGGAATAGGATTTAAAAAAACAATAGAATTTACGATTCAAATTTATAACTAACAAGACATTATTTTCCACGTCAGAGTGACAGTGTTCCGTAAACAAGGGAAACGCATAATTACCAAGAATGTAGTAATACGAGGTCCTAGATAAACAGAATGTTAATATCGCGGGTCATTACCAACGCAGTAGAAACTGGTCGTATCAGTCAGCCATCGTTTACATTGGCGCACAGCAGTGAACACCGCTAACAGTAGAGTTGGTCGGTACATAATCAGCCAGCCGTGACAGTAGTACGAGTTCGTCGAAACTCCGACAGCAGTAGTTACTGATCACACGTTGACAACAGCGACAGCTTACTGGATATCGGAAGTTAGACGATGACACTAATGCTCTTTGCAAATACATTACGAAACGTAAATTACACATGATCTATAGGAATTGTTAAAAACAAATAATTTATTAACAATTTGATTGAAACAATAAAATTAGCTGGATGTAGTTAATGGATTGGTCAACTCGCTTCTAAAATTCAACAAATTGAATTGATAGAAAGCACCTGCTAATTAAACAATTAAATTTTTCAACTCGGTAAAATGCAAATTCTTGACTTAATCTCGCGCGGAGTGATATAATTTCTAGTCAAACTGATTCGTGGTGACAGGTGAAAACAGTTTGCCGAAAAATGTCTGAACTGTACGGAAATTATTCGTCGTTCCGTTTCCAACGGGTAGCTTTTTCCGCGGAATCAAGCAGTCCCGTTAGAAACTGGCGAGCTTTATCGGCTACGAGCTTCGGCGATGGTAGAGGCGGACTCGGCCATTGTCGGACGATAAAAGGGCGCGAGAGGAAACGAACTGGCAGCTAGGAAGCAAGGATTCTATGGAGGAAGGGGTGAAGGTAAGTCCGCCCTTCTTCATCTTCCCCCTTGGTTCAGCAGCGCTGCCTTCTCGGAGCTGGTGGAAATTAGTTCTCGGCCGTAGAGCACGGAATTATTGCTGCTTTCAAAGTCGCTGAAGCTCGAGCCTCGAACTCGACGCGCTTACATCTGGGGCTGTGGGGGGAAAGTACAAAGAGGAAAGAAAAGAAAAGAAGAAGGAAGGGAATGTGGACGCGCGTAGAGGAGCGTGGTAGAACGAAGACTGGGACGAAGCGAGGGTAGTTAAACCGAGGCTACAAATCTACGATATTGAGTTAGAAGTAAGGCGAACCCTTGAAGCGGAGGCTAATAAAATTTGATGACCGGGAACTTCGTAATGAGAATGAGACGCGGAAGGAGATGGAACTGGCGGAAGATAAGTGGGCGGGAAAAGGGACCTGGTCGAAACCGACCGGCTATGAAAACTTCTCAGACGCAACGATTCCTCTGATTTATGATATTTCGTCGGACCTTGCAGTTCAGTTCATTGTCTCACAATTTTACCGTGATCTATTCATAGTGAATTTCATTTGTACTCGGGTGTCATTGCCCCGTGACTTTTGATCGAAGATAAAGTAAAAGATATTTCTCGAACAATTGAAAATGCTGCGAAGGTAATAGGTAGCACATGGTTCGGGAACGTTGTTCGGGTGAAATTCAGCGAAGGGTGGCGGAAAGATGAGCGGGTTGAGGGTGGGATGTTGGCGGTGATTCGACATCAAAAGGCGTCTGTCGGTCGTTCAACCGGGCCTCTGATTGCACCGTAAAGGCGGCGTGTCTTAGAAATCACGGTTATCGCGGCAGAAAATCACTTTCTTGCTCGCGGAAGCGTGCACGCTCGACAAAAGGGGCAAAGGGCAAGGTGAACCATAAAGGAAAAGGGTGCGTTGCACCAACAGGGCGTGGTGTTGAGCTTGACATTGTCTTTCGTGTGGTCGCTTCTGTAAGTTGGTCAGCTTCTTTTGTGATTCGTTGATTTTTTATACTGATGAGAATCTTCCTTGTTTTCATCAGTCACTGTCATTGTTTGCCACGTAATTTGAACAAATTACTAGAATTAATAATACTAACGTTAAAAAAGACATTAATGATCACCCTTCAGCGACGTTTATTCTAGGAATATTTATTCGCAAAAGGACAAAAAGGAATGCAAAGTAGCCGTGTTAGCACGCTAATACATAAACACTTAGCTAATGGCTATTAAGCGTGTTTCACAACAAGCATATTTGCATGGACATACTCGTAAGTGAATTCCATAGCGCGGATACAGCGATTCGCAAACACGTGGAACGAATATCTCCGTGAAAACAAGAGCGTGTAATATGAAATTCCTGGACTCTTTGTCAATATTACCCGCGATGAAAGAGGACGCGAGCTTTCAGTTTAATGCGATTAAAATCGAGGCCAGAAGCGCGCGATGATAAAACGCACGAAACCCATGAAAAACATTTTCACGGCGAGGATCCATTGGTCCATGGAATTTCCAGTCAGCAATTAGTTGGAATCAAGCGAATCGTCCGAATTCCACGAATTGCCTCTAATCGCAGAACCGTGCGAAACGCGTGCATGCACTTTATGACCCGAAGTCGAGGCCGGCATTCTTAATAGATGAATCCTATGGATTGAAAACTAATGTGGTATTCTGGTGCATCCGTCACTTTTCAATTAAACGATTTTTAAAAATGATTGAAATCATTTGAACGAACAATGAATTGGGAGAAAAATTGTAAGGTGATTTAAATTAAAGCCTAGTCTTTCACCGCGCTTATAGTAATTTTTTATCTTTTCTACAGTAGAATTCGGATAGTTTTCAAGCGGAACGCACAAATTATTTGCGAATTTGACTGTTAAACTAGCGAGTTCGTTCATCCCCATATAACTGCTCGTAATATGTAGTTGAAACTATTTGACGGTGATTCGAAACGATGGTGATCACCGTTTTAGTGGTTCGTTTCGCTGGAATTATCTTCTTAGTAAAGAGACATCGTAAACTGGGTCGAACGAGGGCGGAGCGTGTGTGTCTGTCGGCTTTAGAATTTCGATCGAAATCGGAATCGGAATCGGAATCGCATTCGGCTGGAAGTTTGCAAATTACGTTCGATCGTGTTTTGGGTCTCGCGTGTGCTTTCACACGGGATTTGAACGTGTACACTGTGGTCGTAGCACGAAGTCAATCGTCTTCGCGAAATTCATGGTTCCCGAAGTTAACGTGCAATCGGGTTGGGTCTTTTGTACGAGCTCGAAGCAATTAGAAGATCACTTAGTTGGGATATGGGACGATACTGGAAAATCTGTTGGAACAGGCCAGTAACTGGTAACTTGATAGGGAGACGGGGTTGGTCGAGAAATTGGGGTGGATTGTATACGTTGGTCGATCGAAGATTAGGGATAGGTTTTCACGAAAAGAAAATAGATTTATTTTGATGAGTGATTAATACCTTTGAATTAAATATGTAATGAAAAAAAGAACTTTGGAAAATTTAGAACATCTCATCGAATACCATAATCGTGGAATCGAGTTTCTTTCTGGTGAAATCCAGTTTTCCTTCACAAAGAACCAGTTGAGATGAGTTTTCAACGCGAGAGAGTTCGATGACGAAGAAGTCGAACTTCGTCGAGTTGCATAATCGTACTAGAGTCGTCGATTAATTCAGCGTAATTCTAGTCGCGGTGTTCCCTCATCGAATTTCCTTCGATTTCCACTACGAAATCGTGGCTCGGTCACGCTTTCGTTTCGCCTGGATATATCGCGTCTCCATCTCGCGACGCCATCTTAAACGGAATTACCACGTAATGGGGGTTGGTCGTAAGGAGCTCTTCAGCTTCCACTTCCTCCTCCCCTTTCCCTTTTCCTTTTCCCTTGATCTCTATCCTCGTTTTTCCGATCAAAACGGCCGATTGCCATAGTAATGATCGTCCGTGCTTGGCAAAACGAACTTTCAAGCGACTAGCGAACCGTACCTCGCCGATTTTAATGAAACTTTGAGAAGTTACTGAAATAGAAGAGCTGCTTTGCAACAGCCACGGAGTTACTTGTCCTTTCCGTCGATTTAATTCGCGTTTTATCGTACCTTTTAATGCACTTCCTCTACTCTCTTTCAATGGTTTATAAAGAGAGTTAATGCTAAAGTACCACTCCAGATAAAGAAGTTAAGCTTAATCACTTATCGCATGATTTTTTTTTTTTTTTTATTGAAGAAAATATATTAAATGTAAGAGGATGAATCTTTTAGGAGAATATAAGTCGTGTCATACATGACATAAATTTGTTTTTGTAATTTATGATAAAATTATGAACGAAAATTCAATAACTCGCAAACCTCTTCTGAAAACATCCCTCCATGATTGTTC